AACAAGGCTTCCGTTGTCAATCTCTCCCTCCACCCAGCTGTGACATTAGATTTTAAAAACTGTCATCTTATCCCATCCTATTGTATGTTTGTGTGTAATTGCATGTAGTGAGTGCTATAGCTGAAATATTCCCCAGATTTCTTATCTTATTTGGGTCACCCAATCTATATTTTGCTAGGTTTTTATGCTTGGCTAGTCTGTCTGCACCTGTTCTACTACTTTGACCTATGTATATGATCTGACAGTCATTGCAGGGTATTAGGTAAACTAAATTGTTTTATTTGACTCCACAGTATCCCTTAGCCGATAAAGCTTGTTCCTAATTTATTTTATGAGTTTAAATGCCACTTTTATTCCTGCATTTTTAAGAATTCTCAGTAAGGTTTTTGAGGTTCCTACGTTGTATGGAATTACTACTGATGATTTATATACCGTATTGTTGGCGTTGTTATTATTATGTGCACGTATTAATGACATGTATTGTTGAGTTATAAAGACAGACAAAGTTTATCAATTGTTGGCCATGCATGTGATTAAAAGTCTAGTTAATTACTGAAACAGTCTTGAAAATTTAAAGTCCATTATGAAAGGGCAGCCACATAATGTGTTAAATCATGTTTATGCTTGTTACTATCATCACGTACAATAAAGATGACTTACTATAATTGTTAATATTATTGAAAGTAATATTGATTACAAAATTGACCAACTATAAAAATAAAAACATCACGTGTTTAGAAGCTGTTTGACTGAATGAATTTGGTTAGGAAGTGATTTAAACATTTAGAATTATGAGTGAACATCTGTTGTAGTGAATTTAAATAAAAAATGGTAATTGGCTGTATACTATTAGTCGTTAGGCTTTCTAATTTCGCTTGAAATTTCATCAAAGTTTAGACTTGAAATGGATCTGTTCATACTGTGTGAATCTTGATGATCTCAGCCAATTCAATTTGAATCAATCAAAAGTCTAAGCATCCTTGTTGCTCTATAGCTGCTGACTAATTTCACTATTCATCATCGTCAGGTGATCCATCTATCTGTGTACCCATTAGCTGAATGTTTGCAAATATGAAGCGTGAAATGAAGGTTGTATGTAAAATGGCGCCGTTTCTGAGCTTATTTTATTTTAGTAGAATTTTCCTTAATATTCTTGTAGTGATTCATGGTCCCAGTTCAAATTATTTTGAAATGTTACTTTTCTTCCTTCTAAAGATGAGCATAGAACTTAGCTTTCTGACAATAAATAAATGAATTCATTCATAAGCAGGAGTTAGTCTGCCGATATTAGTCAGTTATTCTTTCCATTCTGTTAGTTCGAGAACCATTCTTACATGGTTGTCTACAAACCGAGATTATTATTATTATTGTTCCCTTGGGTTCCTAGTGGAACATAGGGCTTCAACTGCACGTCTCCACTTGCTTCTGTCTACTGCTGTACTTTTCACCTGCATCCATGTTAGTCCATACTGTTTCAACTCCTCTTCACACGATCTCCTCCATGTCACCCTTGCACGTCCCACTCGCCGCTTCACTTTCGGGTTCCACTCGAGCACTGGCCTGACGCGCAATGTCACCCAGCGGCCTCCTCAGCGAGTGTCCAATCCATCTCCACTTCTTTCTCCTGCATATTTTTTGGGCGATTGATTCTTTTTCTGTTTGTTCCCACAGCTTCTTGTTTGTGATTCTTTCCGGCCATCTGATCTTCAGTATAAAGCGAAGACAGTTGTTGATAAAGGTCTGCAACCTGTTGAGATAGTACATCTCAAATTGTTTACGAATAGGATTCAACTTAATCAATGGATATTTGTAATTACAGTCAACTAGTGACAAAGTCAGATACACTATCCACTGCTCCTGATGTCCCACTATAGCGTGTGCTACTGATAAGATTTACCAGTAGTATATAAAGAGACGTTCATCTGCACAAATTATAGCAAATAGCAGGCAGATAGATATGATTTCAGAGAAAGTAAATGATACAGCGTTGTGGAAATACATGAGAGACATGAAAGGAATACAAAGAAACACAATATAAAGGCCAGAAGTAGCACAAAACAGAAGATCTGTGCAAATGATGATTTGAAGATAAGGTGTACATAGTTTCGCTAAATAGAGATACCGAAAACCCCAATTGTTCTTCCTATACCTAGTGTCTCGTTTTCTACCGTTACACTATTACCAAATGTCCATTTTTAGAAAGAAGGATGTCGTCGTGCTTTTTGTTGATCGATATATACGATGTATAACAGAAATGTGTGGCGCAGAATGACTGAGGACTTAATTCACATTGATATGATACGGGTGAATGAAATTCCTCAAAGTAAAATTACCAAACTAAGTGGTCAAGTGAAGAGCTGTGATTCATTTCCTCAGCCGAGTTCATCTACTATTCTCTAGTATTGAATATAAGGAGTAAAATAAGTGTTTACAGAATCACATTCTTGTAAATAAATGACTGGCTGAAGCTTTTAAATTGTGAAAATTAAACCGGAATTTTCAACAGTGTAAAGGTACGACCTATAATAATATTTTCGGCTGACCTATATCGTTTTTAAAATAGGTGACGATAAATGTAATCTAAAGGTGTTTTCGTGTAGAGGACAGGTACACAGGGCGACAAATATTCCAGCTGTATAAATGGTGGATACAGCATCTTCAAAACAGCCAAATGCAGCATATGAAATGATCAAAATCTTATTTTAGACATGCAATACAAGAGACTGTACACAACATCGACTAACTGAGGACATTCAAAACTTGAAATGACCACCTCTGTTTCATTCTATTAAGGAGGCGGAAATGAAAGAAGGATAGATTTGCCTAAACGGTTACTTGTATTCTCACTCACATTTTGCTGTTTAAAAGGTGTTTTATTGATTGTTTTCATACAGCTGGAATATCTGTTGCACCATTTACTTATACTGTGTTCAGAAACACCATGAGATTACTTTTATCCTCAACCGAAATTGTTTCCCTTAAGATGTGTTGATCTGGTAGGATTTCAGTTCATCAGAAGGTAAATTTCACCATCAGTCGATATCAGTTGAATGACCAATGAGAAACAAGAAGTATTAAGCATCAAACAGAATTTCCAATAATGCAGTTGAACAAATATAATCCAGTATGCAAAATATCGTCTTTCTGATTGATCAATCAACTGTGCTGGTTAAAAATCAAGGCCATTTTAAAACAAAATGAATGAACATTGACGATTAACCAAAGGTCAACCCAAAGGAATTCATATATATACAAATTTAGATAAAATGACCTTCTGTAGCTGGTAATGAGTGGGATGAAAAATTCAGTATTTTCTTATGCTACCTTTAAGTGATGTTAAAGCATGCCCACTAGGATACAGGTGCACACGAAGCATTTCTGTTGCAATAGGTCACCTATACTAGCATGAAACAATGAAGATACAGTTAAATATGTTTAACTCTGAAGCCTGTTGCCTTGATTTATCTATCAAACCATATTTACTGCCACAAAGTATTTTGAAGTATGACAAGTGGAACCAATACACTTTTGTGCAAGAGGTAACAGTAAAGAATAGACATCAGAGTCAAATAACCTTGAACCAACCAATCAGATTCTCCTAGGTGAAAAATGACATTTTTCGTATAAAAAGGCGTATTCATCAGATGTATGTGTAATAAAAATGAATTACACAGGGTATATATCTCTAATATGCTGCAGAAATCGGTCCCAGTTTCTCATGGAAGTAGTTATTGGCATATCAAACCTATGTCAATACAAAAATTCATCTAAGTGACTGTATATCATTCCACTTCGGGGACCATTTACCATTCTAATACATTTCTCAAGATGGGCCCAGAATCATTCAGTAGAGTTTGTATGGGTTCTACTTATAGGATCCACTAATTCAGAACAATGTTTGACTTTATGATGAACACAGTCTAGTGTTTATAGTTGCAAATAACGTTTCCACTCGTCTGTGTGAATGGTAGTGCCTCAGAGGACTAGTCGTTGTATTATTGGTGTTAAAACCTCGGTACTTATGTTTAAGATGAGTTCTACTAACCGTTTTCGGAGATTTATGACGTACAGTCCCAGCAGAAAGCACGATTCATTTTTCGTTTGATGAGTACTGTTTCGTCATTATGCAAAACGACACCAATTCCTCTAAGTATGGAAGTAATTCCATTGATCCTTTGTAACGCGAATCCCGACAGTGCTGATACTACTGCACTGTTGACATTTTAGTAACCTGTTTCTGCAGCTGTAACAGCTACTGTTCGATTCAGTAGTCATTTGTGGCATATATGCAATATTTAGCTAAGGGAGAGTTTCGATTTCGACAAGAAAGTATCTAAAAAATCACCATAATGTACAACCTACCAACTCTCACAGACATCCTGATATATCAGTGATTGCATCTGAATGCATAACCATCAATAGCCCGGCAGTGCTTCTGAAGATTATATTCCTCGACATATGCATGTTTTAGTCCACCCTATCAACCCTTTTTCCGTACAGAAGTCAAAAACCAAATCTGTGTGAAACTTGCAACGAAGATTATGAACAGCATCTATTCGTATTACTGAGCGATTTGATTGGTTGTTTCAAGGTCAACTGACTTTTCTGTCTATTCTTTACTCCCGATAAGTAAAATATGAAGTCCGTCTGTCAGTGAGATTTACTTTGATCTCCCGATATGTTAAATGCAAAACAGAGAATAATATCCACCAATAACAGTAGAAAGCGTCAAATAACGTAATCTAGGGTTTTATTTAAAATCAGCTGAGTCTCCAGTATGTACTTTCTCACCCACAGTATATTAAAAGTTAGTATTAGTAATAATCTCTCCCTCTCTAGGTATAATACATTCTGAATTGATTTTAAGTCATTTATGATTGGACAAACTGCATTAAATCTTATGTTTAACCTTGTTTGTGATTTGACATTTACATATAGCCAATAAATAAACTTATTTCTGTGTTTCTAGATAAGAAGATGATAGACACAATCAGTTGCATGTAAAATTGGCTGCTGAAAGGCGAAAGCAATCTATCTTAACGTCTTTCCACCTCAAGGTAACCGATTCATATTTTTTGTTCTGATGTTAGTGAAAGTAAACATTCCCAGTTTTGAATTTGATAGTTGAACTAATATGTGCCTAACAATAGTGATGATAGTTTTGACTTTTTATTTCCTTTCATGTAACGATAATTAGTAGCTTAGTTTAGTATGCAAAATACTGATATTCATAGCTAAAGCTTTCCATTATAACGAGTGTATAAAAAAGTTAGTTAATTAGTGTTACTATGTGAAAAGGTAATTATAGTCATAATAAGAAAGCACTCTTATTGTAGAATTAAAAATAGGTGGGCATTACAATGCAATTGGTCGAAACTTATGCATAAGAAAGCCTTACGGTGACATATATCACCAAGGTCTCACAAACTAACCAAAGTTGGCCCATTATATTCTGATTCATTAACTGAATAGTATAGAGTTTGTTTGTAGTAGACCTAATAGTGCTAGGGTGGGTCCTATATGGTATCTTAAACTCAAACTTCTGGTAAGTTCTGCACTAGGACGAAACAGTTACCCAATGGTTTTCAGTGATCTCTGAGTAGTTTCCATTCATTATGAAATTTGAATTAAAATCAGACAAATTTTTATTTTAGTAATCGATACTTTTAGCAGAGATTAACGGTAAACTGGGACACTGGCTTTTCAGTTTAATAATGATAATAATAATAATAATAATAATAATAATAATAATAATAATAATAATAATAGCAATAACAGCTTTATCCTGAGAAGTTCATCTTAAGCACAGTATAGAATTTTCAACTTGTTTTATTGTAAAGTATTCACTCCTTGTACAAAATCTTCAAACGACACAATAGTCGATATTGCGTATCAATTATGTTCCATCCAAAGCATGCTTAATTACTCCACGAAGTCTTTTTCCATTTGGTTGGAGGATTTCATCATGAGCTGACATCAGTTAGAGTAGAGAACCATTGGAAAACCTGGGAGTACTGGACAGCTGTTTCGTCCTAGTTTGGGATTCTTCATCAGTACGCACCCACCACCAGGGTTCCAACCCAGGACATTCTGGTTACAAGCTGAGCTAGCTAGTAGACAATTAAGTCACTGGGACCCGATCCAATGGCCTGTCCGTGAATTCTAACTTCTGCTATTTCATATATGTGTAAAACTTGGTCACTGTGGTAGTAAGTAATTCCAAATTAGTTTGTTTATTAGATGTATCACACAGTGAAGCAGTATTATTTACTGGGTGACGTTTCGAACAAAATTTATTTATTAATCACACGACTACAATTTCGAAGTCGTGTGATATGATTATGAACAATAAATTTTGTTCGAAACGTCATCCAGTAAATAATACTGTTTCACTGTGTGACACATCTAATAAACAAACTAATATGGAATTCTGCTATTTCCTTAAAAATATTCATAGCAGAAGGTTGAAACCTTTTTGAAAATGTGCGTGAGGGTAGGTTACTATTTATGCAGTGATTTGATTGGTTAAAACAACAATATATGCAACAAGTATGATGTATTTTGTTGAATGGAAAAATAATTTGGTAGCTCAGTGATTTAAGCAGGCTGTCATATGTTTGTAGACATTATCCATGAGCATAAACTCTGACTATAAACGTGATGAAGAAAATTCTGAGCATCGTAGAATTCAGCTGCTTTATAGGATTTGTTGCTAACTAGTTTTTTTTCTATTCATTCGGGTCATTCGTGAGTTATAACACTAACAGTGGAATACGCCATACATAACCATTTTCAAATGTTGAGTAATTTATAGGCTTACCTGTAGGTTGTATAACGTTATTCATATACCTAATTTAGCTTATTTATTGCTTAAGTTTATCTCTCTCGTGTTTAAAGTTACTTTTATATCTTTAACTTCTATTTTAAAGCAATTTTCGCTTAATTATGGTGAGAGAAACAACGTCCAGTTGTCACACATCGTAGAGAAAGTCGATTTTATTTTTCAAACTAAGAAGAACCAAAAAGTAGAGAACAAAGTCGGTAAAAATGTACACATAAGGTTAAGAGTTTACGAGAGAAAATTAGTCAATCGATCGATATACAGTAATTCTTAAAAAGAACAATAACAACAAATTGGACAGGATAAGACAGGTCAATTTTTTTTTTATTATCTGTTCAGATAATTACAATCTGAGTAATTAAAGTAAATAGTCATACTGAAAATTAAAAATTCTCCTGCTCACTAGACAAAGAAACTATTGGACATCATAGGATAATCTTTTTATAAGACACAGTGAAACAGTATTATTTACTGATGATGTTTCGGGTACAACTTAATAATAATAATAATGAAAGCTTTATTCTGGAAAACTCGTTTATACCTAAGTACAGAAATTTCAGCGAGTTTCATTGCAAGGTACTTACTTCTCATGCAAAGTCGTCAAAACAATATAATAATCTATAGTACACCATCTGACTCAGTATTGTCCCACCCCAAGCTCTTTCTCCAATACTACTACACAATCCTCTTCGTCTATTTCTACCAAAAATCCCCTAACTTAGGTAGAAACTTATTTGAAACAGTGTGCGAGAGTATAAATTGTGACTGATTTTAGTAATTAGATGATCATAGCAATCTGAAACAGAGTAAACATTTGATGGACAGAAAATTTAGGTATCCGAGGCTTTTAAGCAAACCGTCTGAAACTGAGTCATATCGAGATGCTGACATAACTTTCAGATTTCGTTTTGGCTTTGTTGGTGGTGATATTTCTCAAATCTGTGGTATCGATGTTGCATCACTTCTATTGCCGGTGTTGGGTGTAGATTAGATGAGCAAACCTTCATTGATCAACCTCTCCCTTCGCCTGACCACCTTTATTTTGGAACTGTAGTTCTATCTCGTCTAACGATGCGATTGTATGTTATTCCATGTGTTTCCATTGCTGAGTTTCTTTTCCAAGGTAGTCATCTATTTTAAGATCAGTCATCCTGTACTTGGTTAAATTCCCTTATTCCGATAACCTAACTGATCTCAGTCCAGTGGATCAAGCTCTGTAGTTGACCTCACATCACTTGTCAGATATTTTGTTGACTAGGTTGTCTAGTAAGATATTCTAGCTTACACTGTTTGTCCTTGAATGAGTTTGTAGGTTTAGATGTCAATCTAATCCCTCCTTTATTAGGAATTCCACTTAGGTTTTCAATCATCCCTCTCTTATTTGGCGACACTGTGGATGCCTTGAATTCCCTTCTATTTGAATTATGGTCATTATTTTCACAAACATATTTTCTTTTATTGTGGACTTTTTTCAACTTCCTAATAGATTTTATGGGATATCCATTTATCACAATGATCTATCTCTCTGTTTCATTTCATTCTGACGTACTATTTCGAATTATCGTTCGGTTTGTCAGGCACTTAACTAGGTCTATCTTAACAGATAACTGATGACATGACTTAAACAGCGTTTGTTTTATTTTGTAATGTAACATGGTTAGTTCTCCTTGTTCACTTCCTAGCTCCAGTGTTAATTTTGTTCTATCCACTATCCAGTTTATATGCGTCAGAAAACGAGAGATATGTCCTGTTTTTAATTTCGTGAGTGTCATCCATATATCTTCATTATACCCTTGGATTAGGATTAAATATTTTACGGGTTGTATTTTTTCTCAACCATCCAGAAAGATATCTACTACCATTGGGGATATTGTTGGTTCTATTACTATCTCTTGTATTCATCTTTATATTTTGCCCTAAAATTCGAACACATTAGACGTGAGATATGACTGAAATTCCCGAATAATCTACTCAGTATGTAGCTTTGTTTTATGAGTGAGTTCAGGATCATCAATTATTTCTTTTCTGACTACTTTTAGATGTATATCGATTAGTGTATTAGTAATATAGACTAGCTATATCAAAACTAACCATTTTTTCATTATTTTGTACTTCACTGTCACTTTGCTTCTTTTACATTTATCATGAATTGGTTAGTCTTAATTTCCTGTGATTCACGATGGAACCTAATATTGATAACTCATAAGAAAGGGTATTTCTAAAGTTGACTATTAGTCTTATAGGATAGCCTGATCTATATATCTTCATAGTATCACGTGAGGAGATTAAGAAGCCCGTAGATCTGGTGATGAATACGATTCAAGAAATCCACAGTCGCTTTAGTATTTCGGATAGAACCGTCAGTTTGTGGATCTAAATGATTTAATTTAATGCCTTCAACTAATAATTCTAGTAGAATATACGGTAACTAGAGAACGGCATGATAAAAGGGTAAGCAAAGTAAATTCAACATGTTTTGTCTAGGTAGGGAAATATACTATTGTAAGCTCTAAGGCTGTCAGACCTACAGCACACATGGAAAAGAAAAGGCATTCTTTAAAATAGTAATAATAATGTGCTTTATTCCAAAACAGTACTAATGTTATAGTGTGGAATTTGCAGCATTCGGTACATTACGGCATCTAATTCAATCGAATAACATTGAAAACAATTACAAAATAATGTTACACGATTATTAATGACAGTTCTTATTTGATGTTTGTAGTGACAGTAGGATCATAAACAAACAGGAGAATCGTAAAATAATGATAATATTGTTTGCAGTTAAGATTATCAGTCAATTATATCGAACAACATTTGAAAACAAATTTAGGAACAATTTTGCAGAATGGGTAATTAAGGTTCTGATATGGTATTTGTAGTGACAGTGAAGTCATATGCACATATATAAAAAATCATTGTAAATAATAATAAGGTTAGTAGTTAAGATTGTTCAGTTAAATTGAGGTATTGTCACCATAGATTACAAAAAGAAGATAATAAAAGGGCCAATTATTTAGCTAACAGCATAGTAATTCATAAGTCTCACTCTTTACATTGTCTCTGTCACACAGAACACGGTCCAAATATAGTGTCGTTGAGTTCCTAAACTTGTTAGTACGAGCATAGAATCTTTTGTGCTGACTTCTGATTCTACCAGATGAGATACAAGGGGTGAGCTGAGAATAGAGGGGGTGTTGTGGGTCAGACGGTGTA